CAGTCCAAGGAAGGGCATTTGAAGGAGAAGTAACACCCGTGCAAAGGCCCTGAGGCATAAACATGGTATGTCTGGGGGACGGCGAAGAGGCCTGTGTGGCTGCAGAGGAGAGGAGTGGGGAGGAGGGGTCCCAGCAAGGCAGGAGAAGTGGTGGGGAGCCCTGTGGGTCTGATGCACAGAGGGCTTTGGCCCTCCGTCTGAGAGAGATGGGGAGGCCCTGGGACACCGAGCAGAGCGGGATGTGGACTGACTTAGGTTTCTGAAGGGCCTCTCTGCGCATGGCGGGGGCAAGGGCAGAAGCAGGCAGAGCGGTCAGAAGGCTGCTGCTACAACTTTGGCTTCCACCAGGTTCTGGATCTGTCTTGAAGTTTGAACAGCTTTACCTCCAACAGGCTTACGTGGACTGACAGATAGAATGTAGGATGAGGGAGAAAATGTCAGGGGACTCAAAGTGATGGAGATGCTGCCAATGAGTCTCCTACCAACTGGTCCTTCCCTGAAGGCTCAGCTCCAGCTCCCTGGCTTCCCTCTGTCACCATCTCCATTCCCCTCTGCAGCCCCAGCCACCAGGGAAAACAGCACATTTAGCCTGGCCTGTCCCCAGGGCCCTGGCCAAAACCAGCCCCTGCCCCATGTGCCCATCAGCCCCCATGAGATGCAGGCCAGCCCTGCAAAATTCCCCACACATGTCGCTGCCCAGCCAAGAGCACTCAGTGCCTCAAGCAGAAAATCCCTGGAGGTGAGGCTACAGGTGAGAAAAGGCCAGCACAGAGGAGCACAGAGCCTGCCCCCCTCCCCCAGACCCCACCTCAGAAGGTCCCAGCCCAGCAAGGCAGCAGGCAGGTTGCAAGTGCCAGGACCGACAGGGCTTACACCCCGCAGCTCTGTGAGGGCAGAGGATCTCCTGTGCTCCAAGGAAAGGAAGTCTCCCCAGGGAGGGGGCATTTGAACTGGGCCTTAAGGGATGAATACAAGTCTACCAGGAGAAAAAAGAGAAGGGACAGCTTGAGCAGAAGCGTGAGGAATAGCCGGGAGTCCGCAGGGGCCCCTGGGAGATGAGGCAGGGAAGGTGAGCAGGGTCCCGATTTGGAAGCACTTGAATGGCACATGAAGGAGGTCAAGCATTCTCATGCGGGCACCAGGGAGCCGCGGAAGTTTTCTGAGCTGGGGAGGCCTGTGACTGTGATTGTTTTTAGGGGACATCACTCAGCTGGCCAGAGTGCAGATTTGGGAAGACTGGCAAAGGCCAAGGAGAGGGAAGCTTGGAGGTGCTCTAATCTTTACAGGCCAGACTGTGTCCAAAGGAAAGGACTGGGATGGTGGTCAAAAATCAGGTCCTAAAGCAACTGCAGACTTTTAGACCAAAAGGAGAGATGATCCGAGGAGAACACAACAGCTGTATCTCTCCACAGTTCCCCCTGAGCACAAATCCTAGCTCCCCCACTCCCCTGGGTGACCCAGGGCAAGTTAACCAGCACCTCTGAGCTTGTTTCCTCTCCTGTAGGATAAGGACGCATTGGGCTGCGGGTGGCAGAAAATCCAACTCAAACTGTCTTAAGCAATAGTGGACATTCACGGACCCGTGAAAGGGAAGATTTCAGATTGCAGGCAAGATCCATCATCTCAAAAGTTCCCAAGGAGCCATGCTTCCACTTTGCCATCTGCGAGGTCCAGCTTTCTTCTAAGGCTGACTGGCCCTGTGGTCCCACAAGAGCTGCCCCCAGCTCATGAACCTACAGCCTTGCTAGTTCCCAGGGAATCTTTGTCTCGGGCAAAATCCTGAGCATCCCTCTGATGGCAACCACCCCGGTCATGTGCCCACCCCTGAGCCAACCACTGCAGCCCAGGGACAGGCATGCACGGCCTCGGTCCCCTGCTCCACCCCCTGGAGCCAGGACACAGAGTCGGCTCCCCAAGAACCACATAGGCCTCCCTTGGGAGAACAGGGCCTGCCAGCAGGTGAGAGAGGAGGGGATGCTGGGAGGCATTGGCACATGGTCAACAGGGTCACCGGTACCCATCTGGCAGGGTCCTTGTAGGTATTAGAGGTGACATGTGCAAAGCGCCTGCCTGGCACACTGTCTGTGTACCTGGAAAGGTGATTATTCTTTTTATTACATATAAAAATCATGATGAGAAGGAGGAATGAGATTTCATTTGTGGCCCCAAAGGATAAAACTGGCACCCATACATGGAAATCCCAGAGAGCTGGGTTTTGATCCAATCTAAGAAACGTGTTCTAATAACAGGCATTGTCCTCTATGAGCCTCCCGTCACTGGAGGCAAACAAGAAGGGATCAAGATCTCAGCTCTGGGCAACTACACGAGGTGGAAGGAGCAGATGCCTCTGAGGTCGATGAGATCCCAGGATTCTCTAACAGCGGTTCATGAGGCAGAACCCAGAAAATGAGGTCATTATCCGAGAAACAAAATTTAAACCAAGGCGTCAAAAGCATGCAAGAAAAGAGAATTAAGAGCTTAAAACTCCCTGAGCCTGACAATCTGGTCCCGAGGGGGACGGGGACGGGACACAGGCACATCTGGGAGCGGGCCATGCAGAGCTGCTTGCTGGAGGCTCGGAGCTGGGTGGGGTCCCGCCGAGGCCCTGGGCTCCCCTGGGAAGCAAGTGGAGGGGCGGGGACAGTACGTTCACACCTGAGAGTTGGGCACTGGAGTCCTCTCCCGGCGGTCTGCAGCCCATCAGGCCAAGCCGATGACCAGGACTGTGGGAGGAGGATGGCTGGCCACAGAGACGAGGGACAGCCAGGAACACCACCGGGAGGCACAGGACAGAGGCAAGCGGCACGTGCTGGGACGCTGGCAAGTAGGCATCCTGCATTTCCAGACAAGTTCTAGACACCTGGGTCGGGGTTTCCCCATCAAATCCCCAGCCATACTTCCAAGCTTGTTTCTCACAACACAGCCCCTGGAAGGCTTCCTCTGAAGTCTTCCCCAGTCACTGCATCCACCAGCCGTCTCCCTAAAATCTGAGCCAGCACCCCACAGTGCCTTGGTAGGGAGCCTGAGCCCCCCCACCCCACAGTGATTGCAGTTCCCCTACACCAGCTTTCTGGGCACGGTCTCACTCCACAGAGGGCCGTGGTTCCAGCAATGGGCTCTGTGAGGCTGGGAAAGCATCGACCTCTTTGAGTCCCCTTTTTTACCCCATCTGTAAAACAAGGATCCTAATGGTACCCGACTAGCCGTTTTGTGAGGAATGAATGGGTGCAGGAGTAAAATTATAGGGAGCATAATAAATGTTAGCTGTTTCTAATCTTAACTACAAACGTCTGTGTCGTATTTCTGAATACCCCTCAGGGTCTGCTGCCCCAGGCAGTCACAGATGAACTGAATGAATGATGCAATGGCCCGAGAGAACAGGTGGCGATGGAGAAGGTGAAGGGTGCGGATAGCGATTGAGCCGTTCTATCAGTATTCATGGAGCACCTGCTATGTGCCAGGCTCTAGAAGGAGGCTCAGAGAAGAGAAACAGGGACCGTCCTTGCCATTACAGCAAAGTGGCCCCAAAATATGAAGTCCATTTCCCCAAATTCCAGATGATTCCATCCAAGACCCTGCCGCCTGCCACCTGGAAGCGTGAAAGGGTAAATGCAGGACAAGAAGCCAGCTCCGCCCTCCCCGCTACAAACAGGCTGGGGGACGTGGCTTCTGCCTGGATTGGTCCCGGACAACAATAAATCACTCCCAGGGGAGTCTGGGGACAGCCGCACTGTCACCGCAGTACCCGAGTCTCAGGAAGCCTGTGTCTGCCCGAGTGCAGTGAGCTCCGACGCTCCCGCCCTTGCCTTCAAGCTGAGAGGCAATGACTCCCGAGTATGTCATTCAGCCTCTCTGGGCTGCAGCTTGGAGGGCTCAGCACCGCTGTTCTGGCTCCTTGGTTAGATGTGAGGGTCCACGTGTGAGGCCTGGGCAGGGGCGTCAGGGCCCCTTTCGCTGCTGGAGCCCAGCATCGGGGGCGGTCGGCACAGACACAGCCGCACCCAGCAGAGCAGCCTCTCCCAGGTCCGGCAGTGCCAAGGTGGCAGGGCCGTGGACACACTGGCTCTGGAGCACACGTGAGGCTCAAGCACCCCCGAGACAACACCCAATTTCCAGCAGAGGCTAGTGGCGTGGACTAGGACATACATCACGGACCTGGTAGTACAAAGGAAACACAATCTTATTTTGTCCCTGATAGTTCCAGGGACATGTGGATTTGTGATGGTGGGCGTTTATTGAGTACCTACGATATGCACTTTACACACACCTCTGATCCTTCAGTGTCCCTGTGAAGCAGCTATTGTTCCCATTTTAGAGATGGGGAAGTATAGGCCCAGGGACATTAAATAATTGGGCCAAGGTACACAACTCGGAAGTGGTGGAGCTGAGATGGAAACTGAGGCCTCTGATTCCTCATCCTCTTTGACCAGGTGACCTCTGGAAACAAGAAGTGCATCATGTTAAACTGAGTGAATGAGCATCTATGGGCAATTCAGTGAGCATCTATGAAGCGCACACTGCTCCCAGCCATTACTCAGAGATAACATAGAAGCTGGGTGATGAGACTCAGACACATGGGCAGCTTGTGAATGAAGCCCAGGCAGGGTTATTTGAGCTCACACTCTCCACACCAACCCCAGTCCAGCCCACCGTGGGGCTTTGGTTCACGGTGAGGGGAACGGATTGGAACCTGCAGGTCCAGCTTCGACCACCAGATGGCGGCAGTGGGCTACTAAATGTGACTGTCCTTGGAGATTAATAGGTCGCCTTGGGTGGGTTTCTTAGAATGGGGTGGCAGTGCCTGCAAGCCAAACAGCTCAAGGGAAAGAACGAAAGTGTGAATGTTTCTAGGCATGCATTACTAGGCGGGTAAAAAGGACTGGATGCAGAGAACTTTAGAGGGACACCAAGTGAGACACGAGGGGGTGGGGATGATGTTAATCTAGGATGCTTCCCTGCATCCATCTGGAGTTGACCAAGCAAGCCCCAGCCTCTGTCTCTCAACACTGAGGCCCTGCGTCCCTGGGGGCAGCTGATGGCAGCCCTCTTCTTGGCATGCCGTAGCCCTGGGTCATGCTGTTGAAATAGACCGGAGAGTAGCGCTTCAGGTAAAAGAGGATCATGTAGCACTTGGGGCCAGAGTAACCCAGGCTGCTGCCCAAGGGGTTGAGCATGGTGACCATCATCCCCCCGTAGACAGACGTGAAGATGCAGAGGAAGATGGACGAGGTGAAGTACAAAGTCTTGCAGCAGGTGGTGAACTTGGCCTCATAGTTGGCGGGCAGCTCCTCGCACATGCAAGCAAAGCTGAAGCCCCCCATGAAGAGGATCAGGTCCCGGCTGGGGTTAAACAGCAGCTCCTTGCAGTGGTTGGGACTGCAGGAGGGGATCGTGACCAAGGGACGTTGGGGTTGGTGTGGGTGGCAGGGCCAACAATTGCTCGCCACCGTGACTGCCTTGGGCGCTGTGACAGAGCCACAGACACAGGGCCCGTGGTAGCGGACCCAGTACTGTAGACACGAGGGAGGTGGCTGGCCATTTTGAAGAGGCCATTTTGGGTGATCTGGGAAGAGCACATGGTGATGCAGGAGATGCAGATGGTAAAGCAGAGGGTGAAGAGAGCCTGGCAGCAGAAGCACGCGAAGACTGTGGGGGGCCCTACGGACCTGGGAGCCATCCTGTATGCCTCCAGCAGCAGTGTCAGCACTAAGAAGGACATGGGGCCCCCGGCCGAGAGAACCATGGATGTCTGGAAGTGCCTCCAGAAGATTACCAGGGTGGCCGGGGTGCTGAGGAAGTGATGGTGGATGCTTTGTGCCATCGAAGGAAGGGCAGCCGCGGCTTAAAGCAGGAGGTGTCATTTCTATGGGACCCCTCATAACTTGAGCAGGGCTGACAGTCAAATCCATCTGCAAAAGGTCACCTACAGCAACTCCTGTTAGCTGAACCCCCCTTCCCAGCACCTACATCCTCCAGGCCTGCAGTGGGCCAGGCCCCCAGTGGAGAGAGAGTTCTAAGGGCAACCCTTGCAGTCATAGCCAACACTCACTGAGCCTCTACCACCCCCAGCTCATCAACTCTTCATAGAATCCCCATTTCACAGATACAGAAACTGAGGCAGAGGCCGGTAAAGTCACAAAACCAGTAAGTTACAGAGGCAGGATTTGAACCGAGATCTCCTTGACTCAGAGCCTAACAACTATAATTCCTTGCTTCCAAGACTTCACCCTCTGTTAGAGAGCCATTCAACCATTTATTCAAAGAACTCATTCAACAAATATCTTTTTGAGTGCCATCGACTGTGATGGATACCTGGGGTGAGAGGCTACACAGATGGATATATCCTAGCCCCTGCCTTCAGGATACTGACCAGTTGGAAGAAGATGCCCAGTGAAATCATTTGACAAACTTTTGTTGAGCACCTACTTTGTGCCCTGTGCTCTGCTGGGCACAAAGTACTTTGATCGGTTGATGTATGTATCTGCTTAATTTATTAATCAGTGAAGTCATGAAAAAAATAATTTGAGCCCCAACTCTAAACTGTGCTAAACACTAATGTGGCAGACAGATGACACTCTCCCCACCTTCCAGGAGTTTGTTCTATAGGGGAGATATGTGTTAATTCTTCTAATCAAGGAAATCATTCATTAAACAAACATTCACTGAGCAACAATCAATATGCTCTGAACGATGCTATGCACTTGGGAGGCCAAATAGATAAATCAGATTCTGTCCCGTCTGCTAGAAATGTGCCTTCTATTGGCAGAGTTATTCATTCATTCATTCATTCACTCATCATCCAGTGGACACTCCCTGGCCTGACCCCTGGCCTGGGCTGTGTGGGTGGAGAGGGAATCAGTTACAGCCCTGTCTGGGTGGGCGTTATTCCTTCTCCCACCCCCACCCGCAAAGAGCCTGCATTGAAGATTTTTCTCTAATCTGGTAGTGGGGAGATACAAGCAGAATCAGACATGATCCCTGGCCTTTGGACACTTATACCTCCTGGGGTAGACCCCAGAGACCCTGCCAGAGGTGAAGGGCCTGGAGACCCTGAGGATAGGGCAGGTGCAAGGTAAGGGCTCGGGCCCACAATACCTGCAGTTTGGTTGAGGAAGGGACCAGGGAACCAATCACAACACTCGAAGCAGCAGGGGGTGGATGCCCACGAGCTGCTCCGTCTGCCCAGGCTGGCAGTCCTTGGAACACACAGACATGGGAGTCTGGGAGGAAGAGGGCAAGAGCACACATATGACCAAGGGCCCAGATGAGGGGAACAGCCTGTCCAGGCCTGCCAGGGTCTTCTCTGCCTCCCACGGGCCCACACACATGTGGAGGCATATCCACATGAATACACCCCCATTCACACACACACCCATCCAGACCTGCACCCCACTACTCCCTTGCCATGTGTCCCTTTTCCCCACTCCCAAACTCATCTCTTCACTGTCCCCTCAGTCACCAAAATAATCCTTACCTCTTACCCATGGAATCTCAACCTGCTATTCATTCATTCATTCACTGATTCAAAAAGGTATTAGCACATGGCTGATGCCAGAACCTGGGAAGACAGCAGTGAGCAGAACGAGGCGAAGTCTCTTCCTATAGGATGAATGTTTTCATGGGGAAAAGAGACAAAACACACATAAATATGTAATATGACAGATAGAGATAAATAGCATGAAGGAAAATAAAGCCAGGCAGGAGGATGGAAAATAACGGAGGAACTGATTATAATCTCAAATGGGGTGGGCAAGGAAGGCCTCACTGAGCAGGTGATATTGGAGCAGACACCTAAGATATGAAGGTATCTGTTCAGGCAGAGGGAACGGCAGGTGCAAAGGCCCCAGGGTGGGGGAACTTGGCAGAGTAAAGGAGCAGCAAGCCCAGCATGCTTGAGCAGAATGAGCAAGAGGGAGAGAGGGCGGCAGGTCAGCTCAAGGAGGTGGAATCAAAATACTTTGGCTTTTACTCGGAGAGAAGTGAGAAACTACTGGAGAATTCCAAGCAGAGGAGTGATAGAATCTGACTTTGTTTTAACACTAGTTCCCTGTTTTCTACGTTGAGTATAGACTGTAAGGGGCAAAGGCAGAAGCAAGGGACCAGGCAGGATGTTCTTGTAATAATCCAGGTGAGAAAGGATGCTGGTTCTGACAGGTGAGAGATATAGCACTGCAAGAGGTGAGAAGGGGTCAGATTGTGGATGTATTTGGGGAGTGGACTGGACAGAGTTTACTGTTGGACTGGATGAGAAAGAGACGAGTCAAAGGTAACTCTGGTGTTTTTGGTCTGAACAACAGAAAGATGGTGTCACCTTTTCCTGGGATGGGAAACCTCAGGGGAGCAGGTTTGAGTAGGCAGGTGAATATTTGAAGTGAATCTAAAGGGAGAAGTCTAATCTAAAGATACAAAGTATGGAATGAATGTAGATGATATTTCAAACCATGTAGACAGAGAAGAGAGCAAGCCCAATGGTTGAACTCTGGTACCCTCTGGAGTTTCAAGGTCAATGAGATAAGGAAGAACCAGAAAAGGAGACCTAGAAGGGAGGAGTAGTCACGATGTAGGGGAACCAAGAGAGAAAATGGCTCAGAGACCAAGTAAAGATACTGTTTCCAAAGAAAGGAAGTGATTAGCTGTTTCAAATCTGCTGACAGGTTGACTATGAAAATGACCGTTGGATTAGCAATATGCAGACATCAGTGATCTTGACAAATGCTGTCTCAGAAGAGTGGTGCAGATGAATGACAGCCTCCTTGGAATTTGGAGTGGGTTCAAGACAGATTAGGGCACTTCTGGTTTCCAGTCTGGCATATAGGGAGCTTGGAAGCCATCACTTCTTTCCTCACAACATGAAAAAGGCTGAGCAAACTAAAAATCAACTCTTCTTGAATCCATCAGAGAACTGGAATCACAGGGGTGCAGACCCCAAAACTGGAGAGACGGGTGAATATGCAGAATCACGGGTTACCAGGAGCAGAAACTGCCACTGGAGGCAGCAACTGGTAGGACAATTCAAAGAGTACATGGCTAATTGCTGGAGATTGACCTTGGGCTGGCTTGAAAGAAAAATTCCTGGGGGTGCAGTCTTACACCCAGATATCCTACCAGGTTGTAGACTGGAGGTGAAGATTAGAGAAAAATCTCCTTATGCTTCCAGTAGAGAGGGAGGAAAAAGTAACCATTTTAAAATACATCCAGAGCATTCTGGTCTCCTTTAAAAAGAGCTGTCTTCAGGGGAAACTACTTTATCAGAGCCTAACTGACATAGTGGAAGAGAAGTACCCAACTCTGGCCCCCTCCAACCTTCCTGTCTTACCTAAGGCAGGGGAAACTGAAAAGCACTTGTGAAGGACACAGCCCAAGGGCACAGGTTCATTGAAAGAATGAAACCTAGTCATAGGATCATTACAGAAAGCTTCCTCTCCTCCCATACCTTAGCACCACATCATTCAGGCTCCTGTATAACAGGGGGTTACAACCAAAAGAACTTCAAGGGTCTATTTAAGGAGGAGTCTCTGGGGAAATCAGACACCAGAGGAAACAAAAAGACACAAGAGGAAATTTTAACCTCTGACACCACAGCACAACAAATTATAAACATGGCCTAACTCCTACCCAGATAAACATAAAACTTCACACTAAAGATTTATTTATCTCAGTTCCAATAATTCATGTCTGGATTCCAACAAAAAAATTACAAGGCATGCTAAAAGACAAAAAAAGAAAAAAAACAGTCTGAAGAAATAAAACAGTATCAGAACAAGACTCAGGCATGGCAGAGATTTGGGAATTATCAGACCAGGAACTTAAAATAGCAACAATTTCTATGCTAAGGCTGTAATTGAAAAAGTGGGTAACATGCAAGAACAGATGGGTGAGGTAAGCAGGGAAATGATGGAAACTAAGAAAGAATCGAAAGGAAATGCTAGAAATTTTTTTAATAACATGGTAACAGAAATGAAGAATGCCTTTGATGAGCTCATCAGTAGACTGGACATAGTTAAGGAAAGAATCAGTGAACTTGAAGAGATGTCAATAAAAATACCTTAAACTGAAAAGCAAAGAGAAAAAGATAAGCAAAAACAATCAAACAAATGAACAAAATATCTAAGAACTATAGGATCAAGAGCAGCGGAAATCTCCTCCCAAAACACATATATCTATGAAAATATAACAAAGACAACTCTTCCGAGAATAAAGACCAGAGGACACAGGACAACATCCAGACCACATCCACACCTGCAAGAACCCAGCGCCTTGCAAAGGGGGTAAGATACAAACCCCGGCCCAGCGGGATCCGAGCGCCCCTCCCCCCGGCTCCCGGCGGGAGGAGAGGAGTCAGCAGGGAGGGAGAAGGAGCCCAGGACTGCTGAACACCCAGCCCCAGCCATCTGGACCAGAGTGCAGACACAGGGCGTGCGTGGGGTCCTGGATACTAGGGAAACAGTGCAGCAAGACCGGCGAGCGGGTGCCTGAGGCCGGGGCCTGAGGACAAAAGAAAAGCGAGCGGCCATCTTTTTGTTGTTGTTGTTGTTGTTGTTGTTGTTGCTTTGATTTGGTGAGCACTTTTTGGAAGTCTTAAAGGAACAGAGACCCCAATACTAGGGAAACAGGGCAGCAAGACCAGCAAGTGAGTATCGGAGGCCGGCACCGGAGAACAAAAGAAATGCGAGCAGCCACCTTTTTTTCTTTTCTTTTTTCTTTTTTGTTGTTGTTTTGACTTGGCGAGCGCTTTTTGGAAGTCTTAAAGGGATAGGGACCCCAATACTAGGGAAACAGGGCAGCAAGTCTGGTGAGCGGGTGCCCGAGGCTGGCACCAGAGAATAAAGAAAAATGAGCGGCCATTTTTTTTGTTTGTTTATGGTCATTGTTTTGTTTTGGCGGATGCTTTTTGGAAATTTTAAAGGGGCAGGGCGGGACACTTAGTCCAGAGGTAGGGAATCTGGGGATCTGTGGGCACTCTAATCCCCTGGGCTGCAGGGAGCATGGAGGCCCCTCATGGAGATAAATAGCCTCCCGGCTGCTCCCCCTCCAATGGGGCTCCACCATTTTGGAGCAGCAGCTTGAGCCAGGCCACGCCCACAGCAACAGCAGAGATAAACTCCATAGCAGCCAGGCAGGAAGCAGAAGCCCTGTCTGCGCACAGCTGCCCAGCACAAGCCACTAGATGTTGCTATTCTCCCAGGAGAGGAAGTCCACAAACCAACAAGAAGGAAAGTTCTTCCAGCCGTCACTAGTCCTAGCTCTGCAAACTATTCCTATCACCATGAAAAGACAAAATTACAGG